GGGTGTGGGGCCAGGGAGGGCCAGTGTGAACTTGGGGCCCACTCCTTACTAATCGAGTGGCCTCGGGCAAACCATTTGTTCTCCCCAAGCCTCATTTTCTCCATTTAAAAGCCAGGGATGAGAATCCCTATGCCTTGGAGGATCTCTGGGTGATACACACAGGAGTCTCCTGGGCACCCAGGTGACTATTAAAGGTGGCTATTAATCTCATTAGAATCATCATTCTTCTTCTAAATCTGCACAGCCCAGAACAATTAGGGAATTTAGGGTACTTTTTAACAAGGCTCAATTAGTGTGATTTTTATGCCAAACCCTAGAGGCTTAAAGAAGTACTGATTTTGTGTGTGTGTGTGCCCCCAAAACCTAATGCCTCCTATATCTATTCCAAGTGAAAATTAACTGAAGTCATTTTCTTAATTGCAAAAGCAAACAGATCCTCAGCCAGGAGGCAAAACGGTAGAGCCCTGCCCTGGCATTCGTATCTGGGAGTTACCCCAGCCTCTTGGGGAAAAGTCCAGAGGAAAGGGCATCTGGAGAACTGGAGGCACCTGACCGACGGCAGGGCTGATGAGCCAGGGAAACTGCTTCCTTTTCAAGAAATGACACCACAACCCTCTGTCATTTGTCCACCATCATCTGGGCTTCCCTGGAGGCTCAGAGGGTAGAGAATCTGCCTGCCATGCAGGAGACCTGGGTTCAATCCCTGGGCCGGGACGATCCCTTGGGGAAGGAAATGGCAACCCACTCCAGTATTCTTGCCCGGAGAATTGCAAGGACAGAGGAGCCTGGCTGGCTACAGTCCCTGGGGTCGTAAAGAGTAGGACACCACTGAGCAACTAACACTTTCATCTGAGGGAGGGTGAGTTTCATGTAATGAGGGAAGAAGGCAATCCCTCTCCCATCAGGACTTGGTGTTCAACATGCTGGAACTGCAGATCCACATGGAGAAGGGCGATTTTAACCAAGCAGAGGAGAAACAAGGAAGCCCATCTCTTCCTTGTCAAACTAGAATGTTTTGGAAGCAATAAGTAAGTAAGTAAAGTCGCTCAATCATGTCCAAATCTTTGCGACCCCAGAGACTATAGCCCGCCAGGCTCCTCTGTCCATGGGATTTTCCAGGCAAGAGTACTGGAGTGGGTTGCCATTTCCTTCTCCAGGGGATCTTCCTGACCCAGAGACCCATCCCAGGTCTCCTGCATTGCAGGCAGATGCAAATGTCCCCCCAAATCAGCAATTTTGAAGGTGATCTCTAAAAAGTAACACTTCTTAAAGCCCTATTCTGACTTCAAGTCCTTCCAAACTATTTATAGACATAGACTTCAATCCTCTCAATGGAAACAGTGACAGATTTTATTTTCTTGGGCTCTAAAATCACTGTGGATGGTGACTGCAGCCATGAAATTAGAAGATGCTTGCTCCTTGGAAGAAAAGCTATGACAAACCTAGACAAGTGTATTAAAAAGCAGAGATGTCACTGCAGATAAAGGTCCATCTAGTCAAAGCTATCGTTTTTCCAGTAGTCATGTACGAATGTACGTGTTGGACCATAAAGAAGGCTGAGCACCGAAAAACTGATGCTTTCAAACTGTGGTGCTGCAGAAGACTCTTGAGAGTCCCTTGGACTGCAAGATCAAATCAGTCAATGCTAAAGGAAATCTATTCATTGGACGGACTGATTGTGAAGCTGAAGCTCCAACACTTTGGCCACCTGATACTACGGGCCAACTCACTAGAAAAGATCTTGACACTGGGAAAGATTGAGGGCAAGAGGAGAAGAGGGTGACAGAAGATGAGATGCTGGGATGGCATCACCGACTCAATGGACATGAGTTTGATCAAACTCCAAGAGATGGTGAAGGACAGGGAAGCCTGGCATGCCGCAGTCCGTGGGGTCACAAAGAGTCAGACGCGACTGAGCAACTGAACAACAACAGATCCTCTCAAACTCCTGTAAGATGTCCTATTTCTACTCCCATTTCACAGATGAAGAAACCAAGGCTCAGAGGGACTAATAAACAACCTGCCCAAAGACCCAAACACGATTAGGTGAATAAAGATCACTCACGTTCTTGTAAACTGGATCCAGTTAATGATCCCAACTCCTCTCCAAGCCCTCAAGATAGAAACCAGACTCCCCAGCACCACCCTTTTCCTGAACATCACTCAGACCCCAGCACAGCTTTCTCCTTTGAAATCCTTTTCGCCCAGGTCTCCTAGCCTCCCACCCAGATTCCTGCAGCAGTCTCCAGCTGGGTCTCTCCTTCCTGGGATTTCTAGCCCCTCTGATCTTTCCTGTATCCTGGACAAGACGAACCTAGATAAAATGCCACTGTCTGAGCTCATTCTGCTGGAATGTTCCCCAAGTGCAGATTCCAGTTATGTTGCTCTCAGTAATGTATGACATGGGCAAAGTACCTGACCTCCCAGGGCAGCTCTTTGCTCATTTACAACAGAAGGTTAATTGAGCCTGCCCCTGCGTGCCGGGTGAGAATGAATGCGATGTTATACAGAACACACAGGATGGTGCGGACATGAGGAAACACTCGATAATCTGTTATGCCTCCCCTCCTTTCCTCCTTCACCGTCCTCCCCTCCTCCCTCCTCCTCTCCGTTTTCTAATAGATGCCGGCCAGTGGGACCAATCACTCCCCTTAGATGCTGCCCCACCTGACCTTCCTGTCCACCCCGCTACCACCTCACTCCCACTCAAGTCAGGTCAGTAAGTTCTTCCAAGCTCTGGACCCTTTTCTGTGACTCTCTGGTCAGCATTTCCTTTTGCCTTTTCTGAAGTCCGCTGACCATACAGTCCTCGGCTCTGCCTGGGGTTGCACCAAACTGCTCCTTGATTATTTCCTATTGGTTCCATTCCTTTCAGAGAAAACCATGCCAGACTCCATGGAAGCAATGATTAACGACAGTGCCTGAGACAGGTTCTCCCCACCCGCCACCGACAGCACCCACCACACGCAGCCAGGCTACGGGAGACATTCCAGGAAAATTCACATTGAGGAGCCAGTGATCACTGTACTCAGAAGTTCTAGGAAGCTCCTTATCACGAGGAGTTCATTGAAATACAGGGGAACCAGTCTCACCCTCGGAAAGGGTTATCAGCAAGCCCAGCCTCATCACCCCCCGTTCTCTCCCCAGGCCATCTGTCCTGGGGTTCCTTTCTCCTCCCACCCAAAAGGACAAGGGCTGGGTGATCTGGTTTGTTTGGGACTGTGATGATTTTAAAGTTGGAAATCCCTCATCAGCCCCCTCACTAAGTCTCAGGCGTGGTAGGATGGCTGGTCACCCCACTGTCCACTCAGATGACAGCTTTATTTTTTGAGAGGGCCAAAAAAAAAGCATTATTAACAACTTCTGAGTAACCTAGAAGGAGGAAAAGGAGGAGAAGGGGATGACAGAAGATGCGATGGTGGGATAGTATCATTGACTCAATGGACATGCGTTAGAGCAAGCTCTGGGAGTTGGTGATGGACAGGGAAGCCTAGTATGCTGCAGTCCATGGGGTCGCAAAGAGTCGGACACAACTGAGCTGAGTAACCTAGAAGTGGGGCTTTGCTCCAGAAAAACATCAGCACACATGAACGTAACCCATTGATCAGATTAGGTAGCTAATCCTTGAAAGCTGAGGATCCAGGTCTATAGGTCCCTGGAAGGGAGAACAGATGAACAGAGGTTGAAGTCCATGAGGGGTGGAGAAAGGAGGTGGGGATTTAAGACAATCCTGGCAAACTCCTCAGTAGCTCAGGGCCAGCTATTAAAGAAACAGCCTTCCTCCTCCCGGCTGTCAGACCACCTTCGCGAAAGAGAAGCAGTTAAAAATCAGTAGTGCAGTGTAGGTAACAAATGTTCCCCAGAACTGCCCATCTTTGAATGTGATCAGTGCAGGAACACTAACTACAAAAAGATATATGCACCCCCATGTTCATAACCAAGATATGGAGACAACCAAGTGTCCATTGGCAGATGAATGGATAAGGTAATGTGATATGTATATTTGTGCTCAGTTGTGTCCAATTCTTTGAGACCCCATGGACTCCAGATACGTTCCCTTCTCCAGATACATATGTCTTCAGGTGTGTATATATGTATCTTTAGGTATGTATATCTAGAGAAGGAAATGGCAGGCCACTCCAGCATTCTTGCCTGGAAAATCCCATGGACAGAGGAGCCTGGTGGGCTACATACAATCCATGGGGTCACAAGAGTCAGACACAATTGAATGACTAAACCACCACTACTATATATATACACACAATTGAATATTATTAATCTGTAAAAAAGATTGAAATCTTGCCATTAGAGACAAAGGAGACCTTGAGGGCATTTGAAGAAACAAGAAGACAAACACCATGAGATCTCATTTCTACATGGGATCTAAAAAAGAAAAACTTCATAGATACAGAGAACAAATTGGTAGTTGCCAGAGATGGGGAGGGAGGGAGGTGAAATGGGTGAAGGAGGTCGAAAGGTACAAACTTCCATGTATTAAATAAGACATGGGAATGTAATGAACAGCATGGCAATTATGGTTAATGATACTGTATCAAATATTTGAAAGCTGTTAAGAGAGTAGATCTTAAAAGTTCTCACCACAAGAAAGAAAGAAATGTTGTAACTCTGTGTGATGGTTTATGTTAACTACACTTATTGGGGTGATCACTTCAAAACATACACAAATATCATATCATGATGTTGTACACCTGAAGCTATATAATGTATGTCAATTATTTCTCAATTTAAAAAAATTTAAGAAATAAAACTAAAAAGTAATTAAATCAACAGATCATTGAAAAAACTGCCCTCCATCATGGACACCCTGGATACTGAGTTAAGCCTACGTTAAACCTCAGCCCCTGGAAGACTCGTTCGTTGAGCATTTTAGTTAGTATCTTCCAGACTGTCAGGTTTAGCCTTTGAAGTTCCAGGTAACTGAGTAAATAGCAAATTGAAATGAAATCAGAGCACTCCCACATGGTGATGCTAAGACTCACCTTTCCACAGTGTGACATATTACTATGCATCAACCTCCTATTTCCCTCTAACGGTGCTTGGTTCAGCAAACTGAGGGGAACTTTCCTGGCAGTCCATTGGTTAAGACTCAGTGCTTCAGCTTCAGGGAGCGTGGGTTCGACCCCTGGTTGAGAGAGGAAGACCCTGCATGCCACCCGATGGGGCCAAAAAATAATAAAAAATTATTTTAAAAAAATGTGCCAGCAGGTCTTGGGCCTAGTGAAGTACTTTAAAAAAAAGAAGAAAATTGAGGGGGCTCTGAGATACTGGACACCAGCAAAAGGTGCTGTCCCTTCCTCTTAAATTAGAGGATGAAAACCTTGAATTATTCTCAATATTCTTGCTTAATTGAGGGCTTATTTCTTTTCTTTTCTTTTTCTTATAAGATGACCTACCTAATTTGAGAATCGTCAGTAAAGAGTTGAGATTTAAAAAAAAAAACAACTGTGGTTTCTTAAGATTAACAATCATAACCACCAGGTGCACACAGAGAGGGAAGTGGGTGGCCTATCACTCAGATCTAAGAAATAAAACAATGAAAACCATTTTAAACAGGCAGTGCAATTCAGGTGGCAAACCCACCCCAGAACAGCCTGTCTCTGGGTGTGACAGACGCTCCAGACTAAAGGGCACCACACAGCGGAGCCAGACACCGTCACCCACTCATCCTTAAATCCTTAAACTGAGCTCAGCAAAGGCCATGGTTTCGCTTTGATCCTCCATATGACCCTTTGGGTCAAAAAGAACAGCAAAAACATCTGTCCCAAACAGGAAAGTCTTCTAGGTACCACCCGCCCCGGGTCAGCAGCTGGAAGAAACCCTGACAAACCTGAGTGTCCACCTCCCCTGGGGAATTTGGGGCTGAAGTGTTCATTACTTAATCGTGCCCAACTCTTTGTGACCCCCTGGTCTGGGGAATTCTCCAGGGAATCTTCCTGACCCAGGGATCAAATCCAGGTCTCTCCCATTGCAGGCAGATTCTTTACCATCTGAGTTACCAGGGAAGCCCCTGGGGCTGAAAAGATCAGTATAATTAGTAAGTGGCAGCTTGGAATTCAGCACCCATCTCTCATTGTAAAAAAGAAGACATGTAAGTAGAGGCATCTTCTAAAGGCCTTAAGAGATTCACAGATTCCCAATCTGTCTTTTGCCAATGTCATTACAAACAGAATAGCTGTGTTATGAAATGATGATGTTGATGGTGATGACGGTGGTGTGATACGACAGTGGTGATGGTAATGGTGATGATGATAGCAACTAACACAAAGCCTTTACTCTTTGCAAGTCCTGGTTCTAAACACTCTACTGATACTAACTCAATACATCCTGACAGCAACTCTATTAGATACATACACTATTACTACCTCCATTTGCTGGTGTGAAAATTGAGATACAGAAAGGTTAGCATAACCTGTCCAAGGTCACACAGCAGGCCTTGAAACCAAGAGTCATCTAGAGTCCATCCTCTTCACTCTTCATCCCATTCTGGACACTGGCTCATATCCAAATGGAGAGGCTCTAGCTCCCTGGGTCGGCAAGATCCCCTGGAGAAAGAAATCACAACCCACTCCGTATTCCTGCCTGGAGAATCCCCTGGACAGAGGAGACTGGTGGGCTACAGTCCATGGGATCATAAAGAGTCGGACACAACTGAGCAACTAACACTCTCACTTTCTTTCCAGCTTTTTTCTCTCCAGCTCCAGCAAGACCCCTCTTTAGGATTAATGCCTCTAGGGCCCTGGCTGGGTTATTTGCTTGTTTCTCTTACCCCACCTCCTTTCAGTAAGGTGATTTGCATTAACCCATTATGAAACACACAGCAGAGGGCTTTCCTGGTAGCTCCTGGTACCTGTCTGCCAATGCGGGAATTCGATCCCTGGTCTGGGAAGATCCCACATGCCTCAGGGCAACTAAGCCCATGAACAACTACTGAACCCGAGCTCTAGAACCCAGGAGGGGATCCTAACTATTGAGCCCAGGGGCCACAATTCCTGAAGCCCTCACACCCTAGAGCCCATGCTCCACAACAAGAGAAGTCACCGCAATGAGAAACCCAGGGATCATAACCAGAGAAAAAGCCTGTGTGACAACAAAGACCCAGCACAGCCAAAGATTACATAAACACATAAAATCTTAAAAACACACAGCAGAAGCAAGTGGAAAGTGCAAAGGGCAAACAGTGCTGGGACACTGGACAGTCCTGGGGGGGGCAACTTTGATGGCCAAGTGGGCTGGGGTGTTGGAGAAACCTCTGGCTGTGCGCTACAACCCTCTCCAGAAAACTTTTGCAAGAAGTCAACGTGACAATGGGTTTGACACTGTGTGCCCCAGCCCCACACGAGGAGCACAAACTGTGAAGCAAACCGGAGTGCAAACCATTTCTGCCCGATGAAGGACAGAGGTCTCCCTCCTTGGATACACACAGCCATGCAGGGCTGGCATCGACCTGAGAAAACCGAGGAGTCAAGTCCTGCAAAGCTGTGCTGCAAAGCCCTTCTTCCATCAGGGCAGGCAGAGCCCAGGTGCTCCTTGAAAGACCCTTGTTGAATCTACTCTAATCCAGCTCATCACAGTCCCTACATCATGTTTCATGTCAGGTGGCCAAAACAGTTTGGGCCTGGGATTTTTAAGGCAAGTAAAACCAAATGCCTATTCTTTGCCATAAATAGCTTTCCATAAACCCACCAGTCCATCCTAAAGGAGATCAGTCCTGAGTGTTCATTGAAAGGACTGATTTTGAAGCTGAAACTCCAATACTTTTGCCACCTGATGCATAGAACTGACTCACTGGAAAAGGGCCTGATGCTGGGAAAGATTGAAGGCGGGAGGAGAAGGAGATAACAGAGGATGAGATGGTTGGATGGCATCACCGAGTCAACAGACATGAGTTTGAGTAAACTCTGGGAGCTGGTGATGGACAGGGAGGCCTGGCGTGCTGCAGTCCATGGGGTCGCAAAGAGTCGGACACGACTGAGTAACTGAACTGAACTGGAACACACCAGAAAGTGTTGAATACAAAGCATGACCACTGCCTATGGTAGAAAAATGATTTTTTAGACTTGCCTTTCTCATGTCAGAGTCCAAGAAGGCACTGGTTAAGGACCAGTGGGCAACCGCAGAAAAAGGCAGGAAAATAACCACCAACTGACTTTCCAAGTAGGTCTTTTGCTGTCGTTGCCATTATTGTTGATTAGTCACAAAGTCATGTCCAACTCTTTTGCAGCCCCATGGACTGTAGTCTGCTAGGATCCACCATCTACGGGACTTCCCAGGCAAGAATACTGGAGTGGGTTGGTCATTTCCTTCTCCAGGAGATCTTCCCAGTTCAGAGACTGAGCCTGGGTCTCCTGCATTGGCAGGCAGATTCTCTACCACCGAGCCACAAGGGAAACCCAAGTAGGTCTCTGCTTGACCACAAGTCATCCCAGCCACGGCCTGTGGTGACAATGGTGGAATGTGAAAGAATAAATTTAAAGACTGCTGCTCCAGTAAGCTGGATAATGACCCCTCAAAGATGTCCACATCCTAACACTCAGAATCGGTGAATGGCAATAAGGTTATAAATTTGAGATGGGGAGGTTTCCCTGAGTTGTCAAGTAGGTGGGCCGATTCTGATCATATCCATCCTTAAAAGTGAGAACCTTTTCCAACTGCGGTCAGGGAAAATTTGATTAGGGAACAGTGGTCAGAGAGATGAACCTTGCTGGCTTTGAAGATGGAGGAAGGGGTCCCTGAGTAGAGTAAGGCAGGAGACCTGCAGAAACTGGAAAAAGCACAGATGTGTATTCTCCCCCGAGCCTCCAGAAAGGAGGTCCAGAAGGTACCACCAGTGCCTTAGTTTTAGCCCGGGGAGACGTGTGTCAAACTTTTGACCAATGGAACTGCCAAATAATACATCTGAGTTGGTTAAAGCCACCTAGCGTGTGGTCATTTGTTACAACAACAATAGGAAACTAACACAGCTGGTGATGATTCCGTATGGGAATCCTGAAACTTTTCCTAAGAGGATTCAGTGGCTCAACCGCATGCCAGTCACGCAGAAGGACCCTGAAGCAGGCAGCATGTGGCCTATTTCTGGAAACTTCCTCCCTGAGCCTCTCCTCACTGCCAGGGATTTGCAAGGTTGACGAACAGCCAAGCTAAGACCACAGCCCCTCTGTGTGGGCTTGCGGATACAGTGATCCCTTTGACCTGAAATATGGGGAGGCTTGCTCATTCCTTCATATCACTGTTTAGGGCCACACAGTCTAGCAGACGAGCTCCTCACACAGCTTTCTACGTGACTCTGCAGGCTATGTACTTTACTCTAATTTCTTAATCTGGTAAAACCGATCTGAGGATCCATCTGGCCAAAGCCTAAGAAGGCACAGTCCCAGATCATCCTCTCAAGAGGATGAGGAGGTCTGCTGTGATATTCTGCTCTTTTTATTGTTTCCTCCCAGTAGTTTTTCTAGAATCTGCCTTCTCAAAAAAGAGCTTTCTGGCTTCAAGCCATGGAATGTGTTCAAGAGAACTGGCTCTCCCTAGTGGTCCTGATATCTGCTGGATGATCAAAAAAGCAAGCGAGCTCCAGAAAAACATCTATTTCTGCTTTATTGACTATGCCAAAGCCTTTGACTGTGTGGATCACAATAAACTGGAAAATTCTGAAAGACATGGGAATACCAGACCACCTGACCTGCCTCTTGAGAAACCTATATGCAGGTCAGGAAGCAACAGTTAGAACTGGACATGGAACAACAGACTGGTTCCAAATAGGAAAAGGAATACAAGGCTGCATATTGTCATCCTGGTTAGTTAACTTATATGCAGACTACATCATGAGAAACGCTGGGCTGGAAGAAGCACAAGCTGGAATCAAGATTGCCAGGAAAAATATCAATCACCTCAGATATGCAGATGACACCACCCTTATGGCAGAGAGTGAAGAGGAACTAAAAAGCCTCTTGATGAAAGTGAAAGAGGAGAGTGAAAAAGTTGGCTTAAAGCTTAACATTCAGAAAACTAAGATCATGGCATCTGGTCCCATCACCTCATGGGAAATAGATGGGGAAACAGTGGAAACAGTGTCAGACTTTATTTTG